AATTTTTATACAAAAATACATGAACCTATTTGACTTCGTGGTTAAATCACATTTAGTCGGCTGATGATTTGGGCCAGAAAAGCGACATCAAGTTTTGAAAATAAAATCCCATTTGTCTTGTTCTGGTCACAAAATACCATATTTTGAACGTTCACAGTGTTATTTAGACAATATGTAAACAAGCACCGGTTTATATTCTCACAGATCTCTAAATGACAGTAATACACTTTTGTGAGTAAATGTTGTCTATCGTTCCCTTAAAATCTGATTACAGCATAAACTGAGTGAATAATGCGAGTTACATATGGTCCAGACATCAGCACACGTTTCCACACACGCAAATATATTTACACATACAAACACCGGCAATATGAATGAGCTGAGTGAGTTAATCGTATCATGGGTCAGTTTAAACGGCCAGAGGAACTGACTAGTGGTTTACCCATCAACACCTGACGTAACAGTTTAAAACCATACAGCGAATTAAAAAAAAAAAGAATTCACACATTAAATGAAAATTAGTCTCAACTTTTAGTATGTTAAAACTAAATAAATAAATAATTAAAATATAAACTATCTCCTCTGGTCGTCTAGAGTGAAGTCTTCTATTCGGGCAGAACTCACAATATAGACATATAAGGCACTGGAAAATAAGCAGAGATTTATGCATTGAGCCTTTTTCAACAAGATAATGACTGCATTTATAATAACAAAAGACATCAAGATGATATTTAGAACAAATTCACACATCTGAAACATACAACAAAAATAATACAAAACAAAAAAATTTAACAAGTAAATAAATATCACACTTTTGAAACAAAACAAAAACACAATAAAACCAAAGCAAAAAAACTAAATGCAACAAAATCAAAGAAAAGCAAAAAAAACTAATGAAATTAAATAAAACACAAAAGCAAAACAACTAAATTAAAACGGACTAAAACATTTAAAAACAAATAAAATTAAAACAAAACTTGAAAAACTAAAAAAAAAAATCAAAGCAAAAAAAAATAATTTAATAAAAACTAAAATACAAAAAGCAAATAGAAAACACAACATAAAACAAAACCAAGATGAAAGCAAAACAAAAAAAGGCTAGAATACACTACACGACTTTTGCCCCATTTTCCCCCGATTTACTGAAATCTGTTCAGATTTGAAAAGTCGTGTAGTGTTTTCCAGCCTTGAGTAAATAACTGATGGCACGCATCTGTGTGTGATCAGTAAACTTGCTGCTGACCTGAACCCGGTGCTGAGGGCATTCTGCTCACTGGATCACAGCTGATGTTCTCCTTCCCCCTCCTGTCTGCGGCAGGCTGGCTCCCCAAAACCTTCTTCTGCATTTAAACACGGTAACACTCATTACACACACAGTTTATGCACTTACACATGCACTCTTTCACACACTGAATGCTGCAGTGTTTTTATAGCACAGCCCCTTTAAACTACTTTGCTGCCTCACTTTGTAGCTGCCAGTAGACTGAACTAAAGGACACACAGCTTGGAGAGATGCCACCATCACCTTTGATTACTTATGTGTTATCATCTGAAGCAGATAGGGATCTGACCTTGATAAGCCCACCGAAGGAGCGCGAGCGCGTGTGTTTTTTACTGGTAGGAGTCGTGTTCTCACTCACAGGAGTGCCAGGAGTCGACTGCTTGCCAAGCTGAAATGATTAACAGCGACACAATCATCACAGCAGAAATTAGATTAGAGAAGAACTATAAAATTACACTTTTTTTTTTATAAATGATTCACAAAATAAATAACAAAAATGCACACTAAGAGAATTTTTTTTTTAATTCTATATCTACTGTAGTATGTTAATAATGCTTATCGCAACAGAGTCAACTGCAACTTAAAAATTACACTAATTATAGCTAAAAATGCATCCAGTGTATTATTGTAGTGTCAATAATAATAGTAATAATAATAGCATGATTTAGCTTTTTTTTTTTAAATAAAATAATTATAGTTAAATGAACAGTAATATATTTTTAAAAAGCAAACTCAAGTGGTCTCTTGTAATCAGTATATTAATACAAAATAAAATTGGGTTTAAAAAACCCCACACAATGTAATTATTGTAAACATGAATGGCAACATAATTAAAAAGCCACCTAAAGAGGTCTGTTGCTATTAAAATAATAATAATAAAACAATTTATATTTGTCGTTTTTGAAAAAACAAACAAAAAAGTTTAATAAAACTACATGAACCCATGAAAGGACGCAGTGTGCCGTCACCTGTCGGATGAGTTTTTTCTTCTTGGCGGAGTTTGGCATGTGATGGGTGACGTGTCGATAGAGCTCTCGAAGCGCCTCTTCAGTGTGACTGTCCGAGTCTGACCGCACTCGTGCTGCACTCCTCTTCCACGCCGACATGAACGGAGAACCGCCGACTGACAGCAGCTCCAGATCATCCTGACAGCACACACAAGAGCATGATCACACTCGTGGATAAAGCAGTCAATGAAGAACCAACACGCATGCCACAGACCTTGGAGTGAATCATGCTGGTGTCTGCGAACTGAAGTCTCACATGTTCCCTCAGATACACCGGTGCCTTTGCAAAGGAGAAGAAAACAGACACGGATTTGACTCGACAATCAGGGAGACAAAAGCTCCTAAACTTGCTTTAAATGTTTAAAGAAGATAATGTCATGTGAGTGTTGTTACTGGTAACTAAAACTATTACAAATCATATTTTAAACAAAGCTGAAACAAATCAAAATATAAATATTAGATGAAAAAACCTAAACTTGAAAAACTTGAAATGAAAATTAGAAACGTTTCCTTAGAAACTAACTGAAATATGTTTAAGCTGAAGTAGTAAAATTATTCAAATAAAACATTAAAATGAAAATAAAGCTAAATATGAAAAATATATACAAAAGTACATAAAATTACAAATGTTTCTTTGGCAAGTAATTGAAATAAAAAAAGTTGAAGTACTAAATTCACTAAAACTAAAGCTGAAATAAAAATAAAGCTAAAAATATATATTTTTTTTAACTTATAAAAATGACAAAAGCACATTACAAAATTTGAAATGTTAGGTTAAATGTTAGTAACTGAAATAAAAAAAGTTGAGTTCTAAAATTAAAACTAAACTAAAGCTGAAATAAAATTTTTTAAATATATATATATATATATATATACTGTATATATAAGCACACACACATAAAAAAAACCTTCATAAAAATGAAAAAAGCACATCAAATTAGAAGCGTTTCATTGGGAAGTAATTGAAAATAAAATTATTATATATCAATACTAAATTTACTAAAACACTGAAATAAAAATGTATTAAATATAAATATTTACATAAAAATATATACAAATGACAAAACTACAAAATCAACAAAGGTAAAATTAAAAACTGAAATCAAAGCTTATTCAAAAATATGAATAAATACTATAAAAGCAAACAGATAATACTAAAAGAACACTGTGCCACGTAAATATGATGTTGTTTTCCATCTCATCAGTACGTGCAGATAAAAAGTGTGATGGGAAAAGTACCCGAAAGATCTTCTGTGAGTGTTTGATGAGAAACGCCATGCCGCTGTTCAGTTTCGTCAGGTTCTCCTGAAGGTCAGTGGCATTCATCTGAAGAAAGCAGCACATCACACATGAAACATGGTGCCTGAACCAAAATAAAAATTGAAATTCTAAAACCAAAAAGATCTCAATGATACCAAAATAGCACGTTTAACAATTAAACAGAAAGGAGGAAGAAGGAATGGCGCACGTTGTTGGGCCAGATGACGTGGGGGGCGAACATGAGCGCGAGGTTGTGCGCAGACATCCTGTTCTTGTGCTGTTGTTTGGCGGTGTGGTAGAGCAGGTCCAGCAGCAGCTTGAGCAGGCTTCGGTTAGCGGTGGGCAGCAGCATCAGCAGCAGCTGCAGTGCCTCGATCTGACGCTCTTTATCCGGCAGACTCGTCTTATTGCCGTGATCGTCGAACAGGCTGAGCTCTGTCCAGACGCAGGTGCAGAGTGATTATGAGCGGTCAGTGATGGGCAGGATGGGTGAGGTTTGGACTGATCAGACACACCTGTGATCTTCAGGTGAGCGTGCAGGTGCCGCTGGGTCAGCAGGGGCTCGGGCAGCTCTCCCAGGAAGCTCTTGAGGAGCGTGGCCACATCGTTGGGATGGAAGTCACCGGAGGAGAAGTCGATGTCGGCGCCACTGTTGAGCTGCTCTCTCAGCATCTGCTGTCTCAGGCTGTTACCAGGAACCCGAAACAGACCCTCCACATGCAGATCTGCAGGACAAAAACCAGCTCTTCATAGCTTACTTTGCATACATTCATGTTATTCATTCAAAAAAGGCAAAATATAGTTGATGTTAAAAAAAAATTGTGCACATTTACCCTTATTTGGCAACATTTGGCGAGCAAAATTCAGTCATTTCAACAGAAATCCATGCAATCAGGAAATTTGACGTGATATTAATAATAATCACGATAATGTCAAAAACAACAACAGTGGTAAGCATGTTTGTTAATAAATCACACACATTATAAATAATAGGTATGATAAATAATATTAAATCTCACCAATTATAGCACAAATGTATGTAGTGCAGCCTTAATATAATAATAGTAATGATAATGATAACAATAATGGCATGATATATTTTATTTTAAATAATCACAAAAATATAGCAAAAATGTACATAGTGTAGTATTATCATAGTGTTAATAATAATGGCATGATATATATTTCTTTTAAATAATCAAAAAACCTATAGCAAAAAATGTACATAGTGTATTATCATCGTGTTAATAATAATAACAACAATAATAATGGCATATATATATATATATATATATATATATATATATAATTTGTTTTAAATAAACAAAAAAAATCATAGCAAAAATGTACGTAGTGTAAATTTTGCAAGCAAAACCAAGTTAATTCAATAGAAATATGCCCAATCAGGAAAGTACAGAAAATAATTATAGTGAAAATCTACAGTAACTAGGGCTGCACGATTTGGGGAAAAAATCTAATTGCAATTTTTCCGGTTAAAAAATTGCGACTGTGGTTTAAAACGTGATTTCAGGTTTATTGTGCTCGTCTTTAGGGCTGCACAATATGGCCTAAAACTTTGTGCTTGTATATCAATATGACTCAAAATAATTATTTTGATTATTATTATTATTAATAAATAAAGACATTAAACAGAATGAGATATTATAAAATACCTGATTATTGTAATAAAACGATTTCATTATAACAACAAAATTGAATATAATAGTAACAATAATAACTACTATTTTATTTTACAGAGCACTTTATTTTACAGAAAATCCACACAATCAGGAATTCAGCATCAGGATGAAGACGGTCGCGTGAATTGCAGCGTTGACCCACAGAAAGCAGCTGGTTTGAAGGGGACTTTCAATGTGAGCTGTGCTTCGTTCAATTAACCTTTTTAGCCTGCAAAATTTTGCCGTAATTTTGTTAACAGGACTGCACTTCAAGTGTCTAAATACTTTTGGGGGCCTCTGTATTTAATGACAGTCATTAGGAGTCATTAAAGGGTCACTAAGGGTCCTAGAAGCGCTGTAAATCTGAAACTCACTTTTGCTGAGGAACACGATGAGTTGATAAATCTGAGCTATTGCTTCCTCTGTGAGAGGCATGCCGAACACAACACCTTTGTCTGGAGAAGAAAAGATGTAAACCAGTTAACAATTAAACATCTCTTCAGCAATAATGTAATTTTTCAACACATTTATTACATTTGATGTTATTACATTAAGCTTTCTGACTATATTCCATTGACAGCCTTAGTTTGTAACAAAATCATTTTTCATATATATTTTTGCTTGCTCACTAGGAACCGGAAGTCAATATTCTCTGCATAAAAATGGTACTATATTTATTGTAAAAACTAAATAAATAATACAGTTGATGTCAAAATATTTCTATTCACCTGTATAAACTTAACATTACTTACTGTGAAGAAAAATACAACACTGTCAGTTTAATCAGAGTTCATTACAATTGGATTTAGTGGAATAAATTAAATAAACATATCATGAAATTATGAAACATCATAAAATATTGCAACAAATCCATTTTGTATAATGTAACTTGAAAAATGTCTTTAATTAAAAACCTCATGACAAAGTTAAATATACCTTGAAATAAAATGTAGCAGACAACAAAGTAAACATATCATATAAAAAATATATTATGAAATAACTTGCATGTAAAAAAGCCATATCTATATGACAAAGCATATTTTATGGCATTTTTCATTTTATTTAGGAACCAAATACTTTTGGTCACACAGAAACCAATCAGGTCCTGACTTTAGTTTCACTCATTACTGTTGACTGCAATGACTCTAGAGCCGGCTAGTCAATAGCAGAACCCAACGGCAGGAAACTAACTTGAACAGCAATCGGTAAACTTCAGAGAACTTCCCAAAACAGATGACGTAATTCTCACACTGAAGGTTATTCAATCGTTTCTGTCAATAGCGTCTGAAATCTTCCCACAGAAGAATCACCGGTAGTGACTTAAATAAAAATGTTCCATTATAAGAACATTTTTAATTTCTGAATTAAAATGTAACTTTTATATTTTTTTGAGAGGCATAAAGTAAAAATGTCAGGGTGACATAACTGTACTTTTATCACAGTAAATAAAAAAATAAAATAATTGAATTCTTAAAAAAAAAAATCATTAAATGATTTGGCATAAACTCTTATTATTTCTTAAATATATATTTAAACAAAACTGCGTCACTTTTCATTAAGACCTTTAATTAATGTAACTTTTGTCATGTGGTGCAACCAACCTGCAACAACAGGAAATGTGAGTCAAAGTCAATAAATCTCTTAAAATATCCAATAATGTAAATAAACTAAGCCAAGGATGGTTCAGGTTTAAAATGTCATGCGGTGCGACTCAAAAACTCAATATTTATTAATTAATAATTCATGATATTTGTAAAAAATTAAATAAAAAAAAAAACACTTAAAAATGAAGTGATATTTCAAAATACACTGAAAAACATATTTTAAGAATTTGAAAATAATGACTAAGATGTGACACTCACATATATTCAGGATGTAAGAAAAATATGTTAATCCTTTTTACTTGACAGTTACCCCACATGACATCAAAATGAATCATTACTTTTCTTTAGTTTAGAAGAAACCAGAATACTGGTAAAAAAATCTATAGCCTGAATGCACTGTAAGTCACTTTGGATAAAAGCGTCTGCTAAATTCATAAATTATTAATTAATTAATTAATGTGAAGAAAAACCTGTCAACTTAATACAAAATAAATATTTTCCTGATAATTATTTTAATAATTTGCTTTGTTGTCAGTGCAGTTATGGAGGGATTTAACAGAATAAGTTAAATAAATAAATATATAATGAAATTAATGATGGAATATGCCATGGAATATTGAAATAAATAAAGTACAGTGAAACGCATGCAGAAATAAGTCCTGAAATGCACTATTTTCAAGTCATCAAACTGAATGATTAAATATATAAATAATTTAATTATATAATACAACTTGTGTATACCATATATATATATATTTTTTTTTTTTTTATGTTATACACAAGACAAGATGTTATATCATATGATACTCTAAATTTAAACAAAATGTTCCTCCTTTTCTGAAGGCCGTGAACCGTATATGAACAGTGTTGGGGGTAACGCACTACAAGTAATGCGAGTTACATAATCAGATTACTTTTTTCAAGTAACTAGTAAAGTATAGTAAAAAATAATGCAACTCAGAATAAGACGCAAACCTGCAATAATTAAATGTTAAACAACACAAATATCCTTTATGTATTTAATCCCATTCTATTAACCAATGTCTTTGCTTCTGACTTTCAATGATCCAGTTCAACCGTACTAATAAGCAACAATTACTCTAGACAAACATTTGTGTCTTTGTTTATTGCTGAAGTGTGTTGAAATGTCTTCTTCTGCATTCTACTGTACGGACGTAAATTTACTTTCCCTTCAGCCTGAGGCTTATTCATTTCACTTTTGGTGTGAAAAGGCTTTTATATTTGCCAAAAACATGCAATAATTTTATTTTAAAAACAAACAAGCAAGCCCTGTCCAGATTTTAAAAGTAACGCAAAAGTAGCGTAACGTAACTTTCCATAAAAAGTAACCAAGTACCGTAATTAGTTACTTTTTTTATGGAGTAACGCAATATTGCAACGCATTACTTAAAAGTAACTTTCCCCAACACTGTATATGAACATATAATTTGTCATTGTATCTAGAAAAGACAGTGTTGGAAGTCTTGATTGCTTCGGAGCAAGTACAGAACAGAAGCGATTAGGTATTATTTATGCATTTTGAGAATTTCAAAACATCAAAGACTCCACAATGACTGTAATCACATGGAATGAACTGTTGCTCTCTATAATCGGTCTTGCTCTGTTGCTGGCATTTCTCTGTAACAAGCATTACACGTGTGTGTGTGTGTGTGTGTGTGTGTGTGTGTGTGTGTGTGTGTGTGTGTGTGTGTGTGTGTGTG